GGGGGGGGGAGCAGTTGGAAAAACCCCCCATCTTTTGGCCGCCCAGCCCTGGTGTGCTGCAGGGGAGCTGAGTAGGAGCCCAGTGGGGGAGGGGCCACAGGTGGGCACGAAGCAGCAGGGAGACGGGCAGGATGGCCAGAGGTCTCCTCGACAGCAGGGTTAGGGGAGCGGGTCCTGCTGGGGGAGGGAGGGCTCGGGAGGACAGGACCGGGGGGGGGGGTGGCTCCTCCTGCATGAGCAGGGCAGGGAAGGGCAGAAGGCGCCTGGGGGCACTGGCACTACCACGGGCACGAGGGGAGTCCGGAGCCAGCCCCGCAAGCCCTGGGCCCGCCTGCCTTCCTGCTCCCACCTTCTGCCTGCACTCCCGGCCGAGGCTGTCCAGCTCCTCTTGCATGACACGCAGCTTTGCCTTCAGGAATCGGATCTGGGCCTCTGCAAAGGTTCAGGAATGTCCTTTAGTGCTCCAGGTGCTGATCTGCCTCAAGTATCTAAGGGGCTGCTTACGGAACACGTGGAGGTGGCGGCCACACATCCCAAGGGGGGCTTGCCGGAGCGGCTTCCCAAAGCGTCCCTGCCCAGCCCAGTCCCCTCTCTGGCTGGCCCAGCGTGGTGGCCGGGGACCACGAGGCAGGTGACGCTCTGGCACGGGTGCCCCGGGGAGTCCTGCTGCCACGTCAGTCTCTGCATGACCTGTCCTGTTGCTGGCTTCGCTCCCCCCTCCCTAGAGAAAGGCCCGAAGGATGCGTCTGAAAGGGGGAAGAACTGAGACCAGACCCAGAGCTCTGGGAAGAAGGGGGAGGCAGCGGAAGCAGCCCTACCTGCTCCGATCTCACTTCCTGCACCGAGGAGGGCGTCCTCTTCGAGTTCTGGCCAGCTCCCTTCTTCCAGCTGCCCTTCGATCTTGCCAATGGTCTTCGCTAGAGAGAAGTCGGGCACGGCCACGTCGGCGGCGCTTGGGCCTGCGTCCGGCCTCCGCCTGGCACTGGAAGGACAAGGGCCGCTCAGAGAGCAGAAGGCTGGTCAGTGGTGGCCCCTCGAGGACAAGGACCCCCGTTGAGAAGGCTCCGCTGCCCGACCGGCCCCCCTCCGAGATTTTCCAGCCCTTCACAGCTGTTTGTCCTGTTGGCTGCATTACTGCAGAGCAGCTGAGGGCTGCCCACATCTGCCCTGCCCCACTGTCCAACTAATGTTTGTAACGTGGTTGCTTCCTCGCAGCAGGGGTGAGAGGCAAACCAGCCTCTCAGTGCCTCAGCCAAGGCCTGGCCGGCCCTCCTCCTGGGCCAAGCGCCTGAGGGCAGGAGATCACCGGGGGAGGGGGGAGCCCTGCCCACCCCCGCCTTCCCTACCTGGAAAGGGTCCGGCTTCCCTTCGGGCCAGACTGGGCCCTTGGCCGAGCTGCAGCTCCCGGCCCGGATTTCTTCTTGTTTGCTGGCTAAGGAGAGTCGACAAAAGGGCCAAACTTTCACTTCTGCCACTGCCCCCCCCCCCGGTTGAGGTCCCTCCCGCAGAGACGCGCACAGCAGAGAGCGATTGGTTTGGTCTGGGGAACCTGGGTCCAGAGCCCTGCCCATCCCAGGCCAGTCCGCTCAGACAGCCTCCCGGGGCCAGACCACCCAGAGCACAAAACGGGACGGCCCAGAGTCTGGCTGCAGGTGGTGCCACGCATCCGTCCCATTCCCCAGAGGAGGTGAGACCCTCACCCCTGCTTTCCCCGTGCCACAGCCCCAGGCGGCCAGGTGCCACGGGAGGGACCGGAGTCCTCTCTGGAGGAGGAGCCGCCTCCCCAGGCCCACCGCAGCAGCAACGGCCGCTGCTCCCGGAAAGGCGGGTGCCTCCGTGCCTCCCCAAAGGGGACCTCTGCCAGCTCCAGCAGGGCCTCAAGCCACCCACTGCCAGGCCCGCCACCAACGTCTCCCCCAGGAGCAGAGGCGGTGAAGCGCCAGAGCAGAAGCCTGGACCAAGCGCCAGACCACTTCCCCTCTGCCCTCAGGAAACACCAGAAGAAACCAGCGAGGTCCCTGCGGGCTCCGGCCCTGCTACTCCTTGCGAGTAAAGGCTGAGTCAGCTTGGCAGATGAGCCCGAGGCTGGACCCGGCATCACCCGGAGGGAGGCTCCCCGCTATGAGCCTGCAGGGAGGTGGCAGCCAGCATAGGACGGGTGCGTTTGCTGAGGCGCCCCAGCCCTTTGGGCCTGGCTGCTGAGACCGGCCTGGCCAGAGGCACTTGCTGTGAAACTCAAGGCTCCATCTCCAGCCTGGCAAGGGGGGGCAGCGGGCTGCCTCTAGCGGACACCCCACAGGCAGCTGGGGGAGGGGCTCCCGTGGAGCCTCCGTGCTGCTCTGGCTGGGGGAGTGGAAAAGACAGAAACGGAGGGCCTCGCAGTGTCCGGAGGATATGCCAAAGTATACAGCACGGTGGATAATAGGTGTGTGTTTAAGGTAAATCCACTTTGTGCTTTTTTAGTTTTTATTTTTCTATACTGTAATATAAATGTTGGTATCAAATATGATCAAAAATAGGTCTCATCCAAACAAAACATCAAAGCGCAGGTTTACATTCTGTACTAATATTCAGACGGCACCTTGTCCGTACCACAGTCTCCAGTCCCAGGGGCCTCTAGTAATTTAACCGTTTCGAATACAATCTTTTTCAAGGACTGTGATGTATATAAAGGACATAAGGCGCAATAATTTCTCTTTGTGATCACAAAAGCTCTTAAGATAGCAGCCTATTTTCTAGGGTCCCATCGGAACCCTTGTGGCAGACATAATAACCTATCTAGGAGAGCATATCCCTCAAGTTCTACCTGATAGAACTTGAGGGATATGCTCTCCTAGATAGGTTATTTATATTATATATTTCTATAACAGTATAGAAAAATGTAAAAAGCAGAAAATTGATTTTACCTTAAACAGACATCTATTACACACAGTGCTGTATACTTTTGCATATCTTGCTGGGGGAGTGGCAGGTGGGCCCCCTCCGCTAGAGGAAAGAGGCAGGGGAGCGTCTGGTCTGGCCTGTGGCTGGCCGCTGGTGGAGGCTGCAGCTGGATCCTGTGCACCTTGACTCAGAAGTGAGTCCCAGCGGGCCAAGCAAAACTGCCATCCTCCCCACCACAAGGCCTCCTTTGGAGTCAGCATCACTCAGCCCCTCTGAGATTCCGCTTCTAAGTGTCATTCTGAAATCGGTACCCTTTCTGAAGGTTGTGGGAGGTTACAGAAGCAGGCTGCCAAACGTCAGGGTTGGTGCCTGGCACGTGCACGTGGAAGTCCCCTAATGAAACAGGAAACCATCGTACAGATCTGAGAAGATCTAGAACCACGGAAGCCTCTCTGAGCGGGAGCTGCCTCAGCCTTGCTGCAGAACAACCCAAAGGGGGGGTGTGTCTGGTGGCACCCCGAAAGCAACAGCCGCAGAGTGGCGGAAGCTTCCGTGGACCAGAGCTCGTATGTCAGCAGATGGGCGAAAGAAGAGTCTGGGAAGGGCCATGCACACCTGCGGCACGGGGCTCTAGTCCATGCATATACTTCCACTACACCACGTCTGTTCTTCAGGTCTCCTCTCAATTTTGCTTTTAAAAACTTTGACCTGCTAGGTCACCTCGAATACAGAGAAATCAAACCGTGTACAGATGGCAGAGAAAGCCCTTGCTGGACTTGAGTCCCAAAACCCACATTGCATCTGAAGATACTTGGCAAGCACGTGAGAGCAGAGAGCACCCCAGGCCCCACTCCCTTTCGGTACCTTGCTGTGGACGTGCGGAAGAGCACCCGGTAGCTCAGAAGGCAGGTCTCTGGGGAGAGGGGGAGAGAGAGAGAGAGAGAGACAATTGCAGGACAGGCTTCACTTCGGAAGAACAGAGTCCTCCGGCAGACCACAGACCTCCTTGCGTCCTTTTTAAAGATTTTACCAGAACTGCCACAGGGAAGAGAAACGAACATGTGCTCCGTCAATCAGGCTGGCTTTTCAGACTGATTTCCGTGAAAAAGACGGTTTCAGGAAAGGACATGCTGATATTCCCAGGAAGAGACTGGTGGGGGTTCAGAGGGGGCGCTGGGTCTCCCTGTGGGTCCAGATGTGCCAGCAGGGCTTGGGCCTCGGAACAGATGTGTCTCCTAGCTGGGCTCCACCGCTCTGACCCTCCCCTGACCTTTGCCCTCTCTCAGCCCCTGACCAATGAGAGTGAGTCAGCAGGTCACTCTGGCGCCTCCTTTCCCACGGCCGGCTGTGGGAGGTGAGGGTCCAGAGGCCCCTCAGGGGCGCACGCTTTGGATCTGGCAGCGCCTGCTTATTTTAGTCCCTGTTGCACACATTCCCAGCAGGCAGGTGCTGCATGGGTGCCAAATGCCCTCAGCCCGCCCTCCTCCCAAAGGACGGGGGCCCTTTGATCTCCCCACCCCCACCCCGAGGGCACTGGCTCCCAAGCAGCCCACGCCTGGGGCAACCCCAACATGCCCTCTCAGGCCAGAGGCCCGGCTGTCCGGGGCGGTTCTGTCTCCTGGCTGGGAGGAGCGCAGCTGTCATCCAGTTGGAAACGACAGCATACCAGATTCCTTTCGAGGTGCTGGTTTCGACCTTTAAAGCCCTCCATGGCCGGGGGCCTGCCTACCTGAGGGACTGCCTTTCCCCACATGTCCCCCAGAGAGCACTCAGGTCAGGGTCACAAAATCGCCTGACTCTCCCTGGTCCGAAAGACGCCAGATTGGCCACCACCAGAGCCAGGGCCTTGTCAGTGGCGGGTCCACTCTGGAGGAATGAGCTCCCGGAAGACATCGGGGCCCTGCGGGACCTTGTACCCTTCCGCAGGGCCTGTAAAAGGGAGCTCTTCCACCAGGCCTTCGATGAGGAGCTGCCACTGTTAAAGGAGTCATCGGGGCTGAGCGTGCGATGGCCCTTCTGTCACAGCGCTGGATACTGCCTTCGGACCACTTGACAGGCTGCAACGCTGGATACTGCCTCCTTTTGTCAGATTACATCATAGGAGCCGCCATCTGTATGTGTGTGCTAGCACCTTATGTAAGTTGTTGTATATGTGAATTTTTATTGCATTTTATTGTTTTATTGTATGTTAACTGTTGTAAACTGGCCTTGAGCCAGTTTTCCTGGCAAGGCGGGATAGAAATTTAAAGTAATAAATAAAAAATAAACGACAGCCGACTGACAGACTTCGGGCCCCTTAGAGCACCTGTCGATGCAAACAGCTAGCAAGCAAAGGTGGGCAGATATACTGGGTGTGCCACCTTGACCCACGGAGCAAGCAAGAAGGGGCAACCACGCAATGCACCTCTGCACAAACCAGTGCCTGGCAGCGCGTGAACCCCAAAAGGGCCAGTGGGTGGATATTCAGAGGCCTCAGAGTCCTGGGAGGGGGTCCCCTGCAAAGAATACGGCCAGAGCAAACTCTGACAACTCTTGCGTGGCCTGCCTGTGCGGTGGAGGCCGCCTGGTTCCTCCCCAGACTCGGCCCAGGGCTGCAGGGAGGGTTCCAGCGGGGGGCTTCCGTGCAAAGGAAGAGCCACGACAGCCCCTCCCTGACTTGGCAGCTCCTGACCTCTGAAGGAGAACGGCAGCTACCTGTTCACTGGAGACCCAGCCAGGAGGAGGAGTGATGCTGGGAACACACATCCTAAAGCCTCACCTGGAGTCCTCCCATGTGCATTTCTGGAGGCCTCACTTCAAAAGGGATGTGGGCAAAATCAAGAGGGTGCAGAAGAGAGTGACGGGGTGATTGGGGTCTAGGAGAAAAGGCCGAGGGACTTCTTGGGAATGTTCAATCTGGAGAAGAGGAGGCTGAGGGGGGACAGGATTGCTCTCTCTAAATCCTTGAAAGGCTGTCATTTGGAGGAGGGCAGGGAGCTGTTCCACTGGGCAGCAGAGGAGAGGACCTGAAGCAACGGGTTTAAGTTACACGCAGAAAGGGTATCGGTCAGAGTGGTTCAGAGGTGGAATCAGCTGCCTAGGGGAGGTGGTGAGCTCCCCTTCACTGGCAGCTTTCAAGAAGAGGCTGGACTTCTCTGGAAACGTGGGGCCCTGAGGTCAACTCTGCCTGCCCACAGGGCTCCCTTTTCAATCCCTCCCCGCTCTAGCCCTCTGAGTCACAGCAGAGGAGGAATTCACAGGCGGAACAGAGCCGCGTTCCTCCAGCCGGCCACTAGAGGGAGCAGCCCAGTTCCAAGTCGCTTCAGACTGCCGACGGTTGGCTTCCAAGGGGTTAGTTTAAGTAAATTTGCAATCTAGGAAGCCCGAGTCTCTCGAAAGACGGAAGGGAGCAGGAGACCCCTTGTTTGCCCTGTTGCAGTAACCGGAAGGCTGCAGCTTCACCTCTTAGGCTGCGTTGGTGGGATTAACCTGGCAGATTTTACAGGAAATGTTTGTTTTTATTGTGGATACCAAAAAAGTCGCTGGCCAGTCGGTGCCACTTCGGAGGAGGCCATGCTCCCTCTTCCATTACACGGGAGGGAGTATCTCTACCGACGGCACAGACATGCACACTCCAAGACCACAGCACGCTTTTTTTCCAAAACCACCACTTGATTCTATATACAAATACCTGCAGGTTTAATGTATCGACCCACACTTGTGTGCCGGATCTACTCAGACACTTTCGGGTGAGTCAGACTGCTGACACTCACCCAGCGCATCTTGCCTCCCAGCCTTCCCGTTCACAGACTGCACTGGGCCCGACAAGACCCTGAATTCCTTCCCAGAACTTTTCCCGCGCCCTCCGTCGGGGGCCCCTGCTACTTCTTGTGAAGCTGTCGGCGGGCTTGGAATAGGACCTTCCTCGGTTTCAGGGCCAGCTTCGAATGGCAAAAGCCAGCTATTTTTTTAACCTTCCCAAATGTTAGGGGATGCGTGAACTACACCAGGGCAGGTCCCCTTTTAGGTAGTGGCACAGTTATCCCCCCCGCCCCGTCACTGGGAAGGACACCGGCTGAGATTTCCTGGCCACTGCCAGCCCAGTGAGATGGCCACACGGCCTCTTAGGCACCCTGAGTCGGGCTGTTCCGCTTGTGTGAGCCAGAAAGGGAAGGAGGAACAGCCCCCCCCGCTCCTCCAGACTCTCTGCTCTGCCTGGCCGTGATGTCCCACGTAGCCCTGGGCTGGAAGAGAAGGGCACAGAGGGAGGCCAGGGTCTTGCTCAGGGGCCAAAAGGTTTGTGTGCCCCGCCACTTGTGGCAGTGTGATAGGGTGCCCTGCGCAAGGCGAGGCTCTGACCGGCCTGGCTTCAGTGAGAGAGGAAGCCCTTCCCTCTCCGCCCCCCCCGCCCCCC